CAGGGAAATTCCTCCAACCCCAAAATAACCATTACTTTCATAATTCAACTATTAAAATGAATAAGTTTTAAGTTGTACGTTTCTTAAAAATGTATATGTTATAAAATATCATCAAAAAGGCAAAACTATAATGACAGAGGACTCATCAGAGGTTGCCAGAGTTGCAGGTGGGGAGAGAGGCTGACTACAAATTAGTAGCACAAGGGAGTTTTTGAGGGTGATGAAACTGTTCTGTATCTTGATTGTGAGGGTGGTTACATGACTAGATGCATTTGCAAAAATCCATGAAACTATATACCACAAAGAATGCATTTTACTGTATGTAAATTTTAAACTAAATAAATAAATAAATTTTTTAAATGGGGCAACAGCTTTGGTAGTGATTTACATCCATGTTTAAGTTTGCATCATTTTAATATATTCTAGATAATTTTCCAGGTATTAAATTTAACTTCTTATTTGAATATCTAGCCTCTTAAAAGTGTCTAAATTATTAGCATACACTTTAAACATATATAATGTATGCTTTAAAATAAATGCATTCTTTTCAAAATATGGCAGTTATAGTCTTAAGAGAGTTTCTAAAAACAGATTTATTGAGGCATAATTTAGATATCATGAAATTAAGGGTGTGAAGTGTTCAGTTCAACGATATTACAGAGTTGGGCAACCATCACCACAATGTAATATTAGAACATTCCACCATTCCAAAAAGATCCCTCATGCCCATTTTTAGTTTAAGAGACTCATAAACGTAGAAGAGCAGTCAATCTGCTAGTAAATTTGCTAACACAGAATGACGACATTTTTAGCGTTGGAAAGCTCTTAAGACCACCTTAAACTCCCTTCCCCTGTTTAAACGCATCTATAACACGGCTGATGGGTAGTTACCCAGCCTAGCTAGACAACTTTCAGTGATAAGTGATTGTCTTGTTTAACAGTCATTTCATCCTTAGCCGCATCTATTTATTACACAGTTATTCCTCATTTTGAAGCACTGAAGCTTTCTATGGATAATCCCCCATACTAACTGAGAACTACATTAATATCCAAGAAAGGTGACAGGAGATGCTTAAAGGGTGAGGTTCAAATAGAAAGCTGATATAAGTAAAGGAAGCCTGCCAGCCTTAAAGCAGAAGCAAAGGCCAAGGGAATTGAGTACAACGTTCAAAGATGGGCTGGCACTGATGGATGGCTATGGAGCATGTTCTGAGTAAGGGCAAAGAACAACAGAGTAAAAAGTTAGCAGACCCTAATGGGAGATTCCAAGGGACTGCTTGAAACCATTCAAGGCAGCAGTTTGATATCAACCATGTCAAAAGGCCCTATTAGTAAAGTAGACCAAAATCACTAAAATGAAGATTACTTACATTTTGGTATATAATATCTTATTCTGGCCGGGCAGGGTGGCTCATGCCTGTAATCTCAGTACTTTGGGAGGCTAAGATGGGTGGATCACTTGTGGTCAGGAGTTGAAGACCAGCCTAGCCAACATGGTGAAACCCCATTTCTACTAAAAATACAAAAATTAGCTGTGCGTGGTGGCATGTGCCTGTAGTCCCAGCTACTCGAGAAGCCAAGGTATGAGAATTGCTTGAAGCTCGGAGTCAGAGGTTGAAGTGAGCCAAGATCGCGCCACTGCACTCCAGCCTGGGTGACAGAGTGAGAGGCTGTTTCAAAAACGTATCTTATTAAATGAATTTTGTCACTTTTTACTAAGTTGGTAATAACTTGCATGATTGATCCTTGTGTATTGCATTGGGTGAGTGAAAAGACAGAAGGAGAAGTAATAATCATAATCCTGTAAACCACCAAGAAATGGAAGGACAAGCCGAGCTCAGTGGCTCATGCTTAAAATCCCAGCACTTTGAGAGGCTGAGATAGGTGAGTCATCTGAAGTCAGGAGTTCGAGACCAGCCTAGCCAACATAGTGAAACCCTGTCTCTACTACAAATACAAAAATTAGCTGGGTATGGTGGCACGTGCCTGTAATCCCAGCTCCTTGAGAGGCCAAGGCAGGAAAATCACTTGAACCCGGGAGGCAGAAATTGCAGTGAGCTGAGATCGGGCCACGGAACTCCAGCCTGGGCAACAGAGCAAGATCTGTCAAAAAAAGAAAGAAAGATGAAAGAGAGAAAGAGAGAAAGAAAAAGAAAGAACGAAAGAAAGAAAAAAGAAAGAAAGAAAGAAAGAAAGAAAGAAAGAAAGAAAGAAAGAAAGAAAGAAAGAAAGAAAGAAAGAAAGAAATGCAAGGATAGCAAACATGCTAGGTGCCTGGAAAATTACAATCCAGAAACAAAATTACCAAGGCTGGATTCATGGGCTTGTGAACTGCATCACCACTCGAGGTCCCACATTTGAGTTAATGCTCTGCTGTTGTTGTTTCGAAATTCTAAAACCTTTTTAAACAGAGGGCTCTCTTCATCTTGCAATAGGCAGCAGATCTGGTTTTCATCTTGCAGTAGGCTGCACAAATTAGGTAGCCTGTTTTGCAATCCATTCAAACCTGCAGGAAGAGTGTGGGGGTGACAGTAATAACTACGATTCATTTGCATAGCTTCTTAAGGTTTCAAAGTCCTTTCACACACATCTTACTTAACTCTTACAACCTGTCTACTAAGGAGGCAAAAATGACAAGGAATCGTTGGGTTTGTCCAGGGCCACAGAATCAGAATTTTAAAACAGATGTTATCAGTTGTCCAGTTCATCTTTCCTATTCCTCATTGTACAAATTAAAAAGCTCAGGTTCAGGGAAGTTAGAAGACTTGGCCAAGGTCACACACAAGTACACTCTCAGGAAACAAGGCTTCTTGCACCCACTCCTGTGTTCTTGCCATGGTATCATGTGGTCTCTAAAGAAGTTCTGGACTGTGAGATCCTTGAAGACTGGGATCATATCTTATCTGTTTTGGCAAGACTAGATGTTGATGCGGATGTGGTGAAAAGGGAACGCTTATTCACTCCTGGTGGGAATGTAAATGAGTTCAACCACTATGGAAAACTATGAAGATTTATCAAAGAACTGAAAGGAGATCTACCATTCACTTTGGCAATCTCACTACTGGTTACCTACCCAAAGGGAAAGGAAAAGAAGTCAATATATCAAAAAGACTTGTGGACATGTATGTTTATGGCAGCACAATTCACAACTGCAAAGATATGGAACCAACCCAGGTGCCCATCAAGCAATGAGAGGACTTTTTAAATTATATATATATATATATACACACACATATCTCACATATGTATAGATATGGAATACTATATATGGAATATACATATGGAATACTACTCAGCCATAAAAAAGAATGAAAAAATGTCTTTTGCAGCAACTTGGAGCTGGAGGCCATTATTCTAAGTGAAGTAACTTAGGAATGGAAAACCGAGTACCACATGTCCTCACTTGTAAGTGAGAGCTAAGCTGTGAGTATGCAAAGGCATACAGAGTAGCTAATGGACACTGGAGACTCAGAAGCAGGGTAGAAGGGGGTGAGGAGTAAAAAGCCACATATTAGGTATGATGTATACTACTCAGGTGACAGGTGCATTAAATTCTCAGACTTCTGCACTACACAATTCATCTATGTAACTAAAAACCACTTGTACCCCAAAAGGTATTGAAATTAAAAATATATATTAATTTTGAAAGAAATTTAAAAAGGTGAATTTGTTGTTCATCCCAATGTCTAAGGAAAAACAGAGATCAATAGCAAATGGATGCTTAAATGGGTGGGGGCAATATTTCCTTATTATAAGAGACATATATCTTAAACAGAGGCCTTATTAATAGCTTACCAGGATTAGACCCTGCCAGTAAAGGTCAAAGTCTTTTTGGAATGAAACTTAATTTGAATCCATTAAGTAAGAGCTTCTTGAACCTCTGAATGAATTGCCCTTAATGCTTTGTAATAATTTAATACATTATCCATCACATGGATGTCTCACCAGTGCATGGCCATTAGTGACCAGATATCTCATGAACCTATTCATTCATATTTCATTTGGGAATAGTACTAGCCTTGCATTTGTTATAACAGTCAGGCTCATTATACTTATGGACAGAACATCTGGTCACTGTACTTTGAATGAATAAACTGGCATAACTCTTGGCTAGTTTTAAAGTTCCATTAGTGTTTTATTGCTCTCCTTTAATTTTGTAAGAAATTAAAGGCAGTGAAAACATTGATAAATCTTAAGGTTTTCAAATTTTATAGTCTGTTCCATAAAGTGTGGTCCCTGATTACTATTAATAGACAAGGAGATTGCAAACTGAGAGATAGCATCTTTTAGAAATCACTTTCAGACCATCAATCAAATAAGCCCTTACTCATGAACCCGCTAGATGAACATCCTATAAAGGTATAAAGGTATACACACTCATTTGACTAAAGGATGTGTAGGTGAGCAATGCTTGGCTTGCGTAATTCAAGTATTTACCAATGCCTTCCACAAGGGGAGCTGAGCTGCTCCTTTCCCCTAAGGCCTGATAGAGGATAACCCGTACAATACCGTTGAGTAACTCTGGGCACATGGAGCAAACCAGCCATGCCTAATAATTCCTGTTAGCCTTTCTTTGTTCACGTGTGCCATATGATAGACTACACAAGTTTGGTGCTACCAAGCATCTATCTAATGAGCCCTAAAGTCTATAGGCGCAAAAAAAGGCAAAAAAAAAAAAAAAAAAAAACAACATTCTGATAGTCCCCAAAAGTTCTGAATATGAGATCTAATTCTGGAGAAGAGAAGCATTTGATAGAATTACCAGGGGAATATAGTCCATTGATAATGGTCATAATAAAGATACTGGTGAGCAGAAAATGTCCAGAGTTTTTTTTTTTCCCTCAGAGAGCAAGTTTTATTTGGTGAATGCTGACAGCAAACATCATCCAAGAGAGACAAGATGGGAAAGGGGCTGAGATAAGATAGCCTAGGGAGCCTTCAGGCTAGATACAAAATTCACACAGGGAAAGGCACGCACTCTGGGGAGACTGGGAAGGTCCTCAGCCGTTCAGCACCATGCGGACGAGCTCTTTGTAGTTGATACAACCATTGCTGTCCTCGTGCCCTGCCACCAGCATCTCTACTTCTTCCTCTGTCATCTTCTCACCCAGTGTGACAAGAACATACCGGATTTCAGCACCCATGATAGTGCCATTTCCTTCCTTGTCAAAAACCCGAAGTCCTTCTGCATAATCCTCATAGGTGCCCTGGTCCTTGTTCTTGGCCACTGTCTGCAGCATGGGCAGAAAGTGCTCAAAGTCCAGTACCTTCACATTCATCTCATCACTCTTGGGGTTCCCCAGGACCTTGAGCACCTCAGCATTGGTGGGGTTCTGGCCCAGGGCTCTCATCACGTCCCCACACTGGCTGTATAGGATCTTGCCATCACCTGTTGGGTCAAACAGCTGGAAGGCCTCCTTGAACTCTGCGGTCTGGTCTTCGGTGAAGTCACACATCTTGACTGCTCAGCTCTGCGGGACCTTTTCCTGCAGTAATGGCCATGTCCAGTTATTAACCAAAACAGTGTTGTTAACCAAAACAACCATTTTATTATAACCACAAGGTAAGAAAATAGCCTTGAGAAATGTTTGTTCTTTCAGAAATAAGAAATCCTTGTTTTTACCATCAATGAAATATCCAAAAGCATAAAACCAGAGTCAACTTTAATGTTAATTTCTTTTTTTTAAATGAGACAGTGTCTCCCTCTGTCACCCAGGCTGGAGTGCAGTGGTGTGATCTCAGCCAGCTGCAGCCTTGACCCTCGCCCCAGGCTCAGGTGATCCTCCCACCTCAGTCTCCCAAGTAGCTGGAGTTACAGGCACTTGCCACCATGTCTGGCTAATTTTTGCACTGTTTTTTGTAGAGACACGGTTTCATCACATTGCTCAGGATGGTCTCAAACTTCTGGGCTCAATTAATCTGCCTGCCTCAGCCTCCCAAAATGGTGGGATTACAGGCATAAGCCACCACGCCTAGCCTTAAATGTTAATTTTGAGAAGACGACCCACTCTGACAGAGCAATGTTTTGCTAACTGAACAGAATACATGGAAACAAACAAACAAAAAAAAGCTTTTTAGTAGCTCACAAGAGGCATAGTCTCATAACCAAAGGCAAATTTTCACTTCTTTTCAGCTACTAGTCCTAATATGACTTTCACGTTGTTCAATAGTCAAAACAATATTTTAAATGACAGTATTTATTTAAATCTTTAAAATTCTTATTTATAAAACATAATATTGGCCAAGCATGGTAGCTCATACCTGTAATCCCAGCACTTTGGGAGGCCGAGGCAGGAGGGTCACGAGGTTAAGAGATCAAGACCATCCTGGCCAACATGGTGAAACCCATCTTTACCAAAAAATACAAAAATTAGCTGAGTGTGGTGGCACACACCTGTAGTCTCAGCTACTCGGGAGGCTGAGGCAGAATTGCTTGAACCCAGGAGGTGGAAGTTGCAGTGAGCTGAAATCGCACCACTGCACTCCAGCCTGGGGCCTGGTGACAGAGCAAGACACTGTCTCAAAAAAATAAATAAATAAATAATATTATTATCAAGTATTTTATTTTAAATATCTATAATGTATTGATTTTATTATCTTAATGTGATTAATTGCAGAAGAAATAGAAAAATATAGAGGTTAAAAACACATAAGCACTATGCAGTCGCTGTGTGCTCTACATTTTATGTCTTGATTTTAAGTTTTTAAGAAGTTGCCAAAGATTTATTAATTCAATATTATGATAGACATTTATTGAGTATTAATTTAATATTTGATTACATTCAAAGTTCATTAAGAAACTTCTAAAATATATTTAAGTCAATATTCAGATGCAATACACTAACTATTAAGAAATGGGATTGGGTGCAGTGCCTTACGTCTATAATCCCAGTACTTTGGGAGACTGAGGTGGGAGGATTGCTTGAGACCAGGAGTTCAAGACTAGTCTGGGCAATATAACAAGACCTTGTCTCTACAAAAAAAGAAAAAGAAAAATTAACTGTACTCTTGCTTAAGCCCAGGAGTTGAGATTGCAGTGAATCAAAATCCTACCACTGTACTCCAGTTTGGGCAACACAGCGAGACCTTGAAAAAAATAAAGAAAGAAAAGAAGGAAGGAAGGAAGGGAGGGAGAGAGGGAAGGAGGGAAAAGGAAAAAGAAAAGAAAAGAAGAAAGAAAGAAAGGAATGAAGGAAGGTAGGAAAAGAAAGGCTCAGAAAACAGCAACACCTTCAAACTGTACACGTATAGTATAAACGGATAAGCTCTGTAGGTCTATATAATGTGCAAAAATGCCTAAGGTTTCTATAAAAGAACGAATTATACAGATATACCACTTATTTAAATTGTAACTCAATATAGTTGCATGTATCTGTTTAGATTTACATATTTTTAAATAATGGATAGGTGATCATTATTTATTTCACTTATAGGACAGTTGTTAATTAGGTAGTTCTAATTATCTTAATTCAACTAAAATTCAGATAGTTTCATATAATTTTGTTTTTGTAAAAAATACAAACTCTTGAATTAATTAATATGCCGTTCGTGCTTTTTTATTTCATGCTGTAGAAAAAACAGCAAAAAAGGTAGACGTAATTTGACCCCAAATTCGCAAAATAATTTATTACATGGTTTGTTTTTATTAGGAGTGTAGGTAAAATTTAATTCACATTTGGTTCTCTTATTATCCAAATTATTCTAAAACTTGGTACAAAAGAGCTTCTTTCAGCCTTTTAAAATTATCATTAAACTGTAAAATTAAATTTATAACTCAAATTATAATAAATCTATCATTTCTACCTTTATACAAAACAAAGAAATTTAGGCCTGGAGTCTCTTGTATTTCTTTGTAATCAAACTTAGATTGATTTTTTTTTTCCTCCTTGAAAGTCTTTGAGATCCCCCCAGAGGTTTGCAGTAAGCTGAGGTTCGCTTGTGCTGACAGCCTTTCCCCATTTGAAAAGCAATTCCTGGCTTGCTTCTGAGAACTGATAGAAATTGAATGTCTGCCTCGGGACACCAAATTATCATGCAACACAAACTGTCCATCATGAACTGGATGTTATCTGAACCACCAAATATAAAACTGAATTGCCTCACAGGAATTCATTATAAAACAGAAATAGAATATACAAAACTGGGTCTGAACAGGTCCAGAATATACAAGTATGCTCCATAAGCAAGTAACTTTGTAATTCTAACTACCCTTCTACTTCTCCCTTGCCCTACACTGATGGCCTCATGGGGAATACCCTATGAACGGTTAATGGAGGAAGAAAAAGCATGGGCCTGAATTTGCATGCTGTCAGCCGATGAATGAGAATGGTCTCTCCACTACAGTGAACCTCACTCAGTGGAGGCTTCAAAGTCAGTAATTATATATTTTACTTAAAATAGTGTCCTCCAGTTCCATCTATGTTGTTGAAAATAACAGAATTCTCTTGCATGTATGTATCACATTTTCTTTACGGGAGGAAAGGCAGTCCTCTATTGATGGACATTTAGGTTGCTTTGATATCTTGGCTATCATAAATGCTGTAAACATGGGAGTGCAGATATCTCTTCAATATACTGATTTCCTTTCTCGTGCACATGTACCCAGCAGTGGGATTGTTGGATCATACGGTAGTTCTGTTTTTTTTTTTTTTTTTAGTTATTTGGGGAACCTCCACACTGTTCTCCATAGTGGCTGTACTATTGACATTCCCACCAACAGTGTACAAGCATTCCCCCTGCTCCACATCCTTGCCAGCTTTCTCAGGAAATCTTTTGACAACTTCCAAGGTCTGGTTATTTTGACACTCAATTTTTAGACAGCAAGTACTTGAAGAGAGTTTGCTTATTGAAGAGAAGGAGGAAGCTATTCCTAGTCAAAAAGATTTTGCACCTCATCCTTTATTTCAAGTAAACCTTTCCTGACAGCCCCTACTTGGTCAGGTTCCTACTGTAAGATCCCATAGTCCGCTATACTCCATCATTACATTCATCACCTTTGAAATTAGGTGATCACTATCTGAGAACAAAGAATACATATGTATCATTCATTGCCATGCCACCAATAAGAAGCACAGCTCCTGGTACATAGATGGTGCTCAACAAATATTGATTAAAGGACAGAATGAGTGAGAAACACTGAACACAGATAAGACAGCTTCCAGCAACATTTAACTACAAGATCATTAAGATCTTCAAGTTTGTACAGTAACTACTTGGCCAAAGAAACTCGAGATGTTTCTAAATTATTGATATACGATGCTACCTACAATTATTGGAATATGATGTTCGTTTTGTAAATGGAAAATAATCTTGGGGCTCCAAAATTACTAAGCCAAAGGGAAAAGTCAAGCTGAAAACTTCTTAGGGCAAACCTGCCTCCCATTCTATTCAAAGTCACCCCTCTTCTCACTGAGATAAATGCATATATGATTGCCTCCTTTGGAGAGGCTAATCAAAAATTCAAAAGAATGCAACCATTTGTCTCTTATCTACCTGTGACCCGGAAGCCCCCCACTTGCTTCGAGTTGTACTGTCTTTGCTTCAAGTTGTCCTGCGTTTTCCAGACCAAACCAATGTTCATCTTACATATGTTGATTGATGTCTCATGTCTCCCTAAAATGTGTATAACCAAACTGTGTTCTCACCACCTTGGGCACATGTCTTCAGGACCTCCTGAGGCTATGTCGTGGGCGTGCATCCTCAACCTTGGCAAAATAAACTTTCTAAATTAACTAAGACCTGTCTTAGATATTCAGGGTTCACATTTTCATTCCATACCCATAACGATTAATGCGAATATAGAAGTACATTAAGTCACCTTATCAGAAACTCTCTAAACATGGTAAAACTCATGAATTTCCTCTGTTATACTGGTCATTGACATGGTTTGGCTGTGTCCCCACACAAATCTCATCTTAAATTGTAGTTCCCATAATCCCTGCATGTCATAGGAGGGACCAGATGGAGATTATTGAATCATGGGGGTGGTTACCCTCATGCTGTTCTCATGATAGTGAGTTCTCACAAGACGTGATGGTTTGATAAGGGGCCTCCTCCTTCACTTGGCACTCACTTCTCTCATTTGCCACCATATAAGACATGCCTATTTTGCCTTCTGCCATGATTGTAATTTTCCTGAGGCTTCCCTAGTCGTAAGGAATTGTGAGTCAATTAAACATTTTTTATTTATAAATTATCCAGTCTTGAGTATATCTTCATAGCAGCATGAAAACAGAGTAATACAGTAAATTGATACCACAGAGATTGGGGTGCTGCTATAAGGTTACCCAATAACGTGGAAATGACTTTGGAACTGGGTGACAGGCAGAAGTTAAAACAGTTTGGGTGGCTCAGAAGAAAATAGGAAAATGTAGGAAAGTTTGGAACTTCCTAGAGACTTGGAGGGCTCAGAAGACAGGAAAATGTGGGAAAGGTTGGAACTTCCTAGAGACTTGAATGGCTTTGACCAAAATGCTAATAGTGATATGGACAATG